ATTCACGCTTTTTACAAACACATTGTAACTCTCAAATCATTCGGTTATATTCTTTGTATTCATCATAATCATCTTTGTAACCCTTATTCATCAATACAATCATAATTCATTCTCTAAGTTCTTAAGGGATTCAGCCCACGATTGTCTTCTCCCCAATCTCAACCTAACCTAAATTAGAAAGTGAGTTTTACCCCTCACAATAACCATGAATATAAAGTTATTGGAGTTTTCTTATCCAAAACATTCATTTTCATCTATAAATATCCACAATAACTAATATATTTGGTTTATAATTTTTATTTTAGATAGTAATACTATTATAAATATAATTTAAAATAATACTTAGCATATATATATATATATATATTCAAATATATATGTTCGGATATTCATTTGGTTCTCAGTGTGAATCGGGTTCGGTTTCGATTTTTCGGATTTTAAAGAATGATCCTATTTGGATATTTAGGCAGGATCCAATCAGGTCCGATACCCTATTTTTCATTCGGTTCGGGTTAATATTTCAGGTATAGATATTATGTCCAACTCTAGTTGGCAGCTTCGTAAATAGGTAAGGACTTCCTTATTGGGCTACATTGGGTTTAGAAGTAAATAGGCTTTATGAATTGACAGCTTCTTCTTAATCCGCTACTGACTTCCTTACGTCATTTGACTAATTGATATGCGGTTTAATCGATTTGACTCGGTCAAATTTCGGTTTGATTTCCGGTTTAAAAAGCTTTATGTCTGTGTGATCTCATGCTGGCGTCAGTTCTTATCTGCTCGGCGTTTGTGTGAATGTATTTAATGTGATGCTAATCCTATTAATGACATCATGCTAAGAATGCCTTGTAAGATTCTATCCACTTTTTAATTGTACCGTAAGGTTTTCTATTTCTGACTCTGCACAAGTAAAAGCTTAATTGGACGGATAAGAGTGACTTACACGTGCTGAAAGTCAAAAGCTAATCCAAAGAAAGTGAGACGGTAAACCAATAAAACCATGACACGTAAGCTAATTAAAGATTTGTCGGTTCAGTTGGTGTTAAATATGTCGGTGAGTTGATTTTTAAGTCTAACCAACTTAGAAATTAATAATTTTGCAAAACCCCATAAAGCTAATTTATTAATTAGTCTTTCTTTAATCTCCTCTTTTCCTCTATTTTATCCCACTCTACTTGGCATCAAAGAGCACAAAGAAGAAGAACTAAGACAAGACATAGAGAGATGGAAGAGATAATCATAGTAGACGATAAAGAGATGTACGGAGCTCTTGTGACGGCTCAATACGCACGGTTGCATCATCGTCAACACTGCAGAGAGAACCAGTGTTCCTCTGTTCTCGTCAAATACATTCAAGCCCCTGTTCACCTCGTAAGCACTTTAAATTCTTCATTTCAGATTTTAGTAGTGTTCTCGCGGTAACAATGGTTTTATATTATTACATGGAACTCAGGTTTGGTCACTTGTCCGAAGATTTGATCAGCCGCAGAAATACAAACCATTTGTAAGCAGATGTATAGTTCATGGCCATCCTGAGATCGGTAGTCTCAGAGAAGTTAATGTTAAATCTGGTCTTCCGGCAACAACTAGCACCGAGAGATTAGAACAGCTTGATGATGATGAACGTATCCTCGGTATCAACATCATTGGTGGTGATCACAGACTTAAGGTACATACAAAAATCTCCAAAACTCATCATAGTTTCTTATAATGAAATGATTATTTTTTTGTCTCTGCAGAACTACTCTTCGATCTTGACTGTACATCCGGAGATGATCAATGGAAGATCAGGAACTTTGGTGATTGAATCTTTTGTTGTGGATGTTCCTCAAGGCAACACCAAAGATGACACATGTTACTTCGTGGAATCACTCATTAAGTGTAACTTGAAATCCTTGGCTTGTGTCTCTGAAAGATTGGCTTCTCAGGACATAACATCAGATACAGAGAGAAGCATTTGAGATATATATATATATATATCTCAAAGTGTCTCACTTAGAAGCTCAGTGAAGGAAACAAAGATCCAGTGTGTTTCAGTAGACTCTTCCATCAAGAAACTCTTTAGTCTGATCATATGTATACAGAAGCACTTGTGGTCACACTGCTATGTTTAGATCAGCTCCATATACCAATCATGAGCCTGATGAAAATTTTTGATGTAATTTAGTTTCTGGTGTCTGTGTATTTATGAACCATTGTAAGAAACGACCAGAGCTACTTACTATCACCAGGAGTCGTTACAGGAACATTTTCCCTCTCTGAAATGGTGAATCCGTGACCCTTCTTGTAAGATAATCTCACGGTTTCTCAAAACCGTTATGTATTTCGCTACAGTGTGGCAATCAGAACATATACTCGTGTTCTTGACCACTCTTATAGGATCTAACCCTTTCTTTTTGATGAGACCGTATGTTATTGCTAGCTTCTCTGTATGTCCCATAAGCAACTTCTCTTTCTCTGCTTCGCTTACGTTCTGGTGTATACATCTTGTCTCTGGCACATAACCTGATCTCTTCATCTCAGAGACTAATTTGTACATCTCAAAGTATATCTCTCCTTCATCAGGATGTGCTTTTCCTTCTGCGTGAAAGACGTGAACCCTTTGATCGATCTGAATCCAGCTCCATAGATCCTGAACTCTCACTCTTTGACTCCTCATCGAGTCCCGTATGCGTTCCACATCTTCCCATCTATTCATACTACTGTACAAGTTTATCATGATCATGTAGTTAGCTGAGTTGTGCGGTTCCAGCACTTGCAGCCTCTTCCAAGCCACTTCCGCGAGCTCCAAGTCTCTGTGGATCTTACAAGATGAAAGAAACGCACCCCAAATCGTTGCGTCAGGTTTTAACGGCATTGTCTGAATAAAGTCCCATGCTTCATCAAGATAACCAGACCTCCCTAGCATATCCACCATGCAAGAACAGTGTTCGATACTTGGTGTAACACCATAACGAGACCTCATAAGATCAAAGTATTCCCACCCTTCACGGACAAGACCTGAGTTCTTACATACGGACAAGACAGAGGTAAACGTTATAGCATCTGGCTCCATGCCTGCTTCAAGCATCCTATTGAAAACTGCTATCCCTTCTTGGCCTTGCCCAAACATGGCATAACCCATGATCATACAGTTCCATGAAGCTACCGGTTTGTTCTCAATGCCACAGAAAACCTCAGACGCGCTTCTCAGGTCCCCTGATCTTGTGTACATATCTACAAGTGCAGTTGCAACATATGCATCTCTGATCAAATTGTTCTTCAGACAGAAACAGTGAACCTCTTTGCCATTTAATAATAGACTCAAGTAACCTAATGCCCTAAGCAAGGTGGATATGGTAGCTGAGTTCGGAGAAACACCTTCTTCCTGCATCTTAATGAAAACTTTGAGAGCATTCTTGAAGTTTCCATTCTTGGAACATCCTGATAAAATGGCAGTCCAAGAAACCACATTAGGCTCCACCCTGTTTCTTTTCATCTCTTCTATTACAGCTAAAGCTTTCTCAGATTTTCCACAACTCGCATACCCATAAACCAGACTGTTCCACGTAACAGCATCAGGTTTGATCCCTTCCTTCTCCATTCTACTCATCAAAGCTTCAGCATCTTGTACCAGACCAGCGTACGAGAGTCCAGAGATAAGTGAATTCCACGCAACAATGTTCTTCTTCTCATCCATTGTTTCAAAAACCATACGGGCGTAAGGTAAGCAGCCAGTTTTAACATACATGTCAATCAATGTGGTTTCTACATACACGTCATACCAAAGCTGGTTTCTTATTACATATCCGTGAATTGCTTTCCCAAGTTTAAGAAGTCCCGGTTCAGCAACTGCTTGAAGAAGACTAGTTATGGAGCTGGTGTTTGGCTTCAGACCTGAAACTTGCATTCTTTTCAATACCGCAATGGCGCCTCTGTACAAGCCTTTGAATGCGTGGCCTGACAAAAGAGAGTTCCATGTCACTATATCTGCTTTAAAACCACTTCTCTCCATCTCCTCCAGGAGAGCCATAGCATCATCTACATACCCAAATGCAGTATAACTCGATATAATCGAGTTCCACGAAGACAAATCCCGGTCTTTCATCGAATCAAAAACTTTCCTGGATGATTCAAGCTCGCCACTCCTTGAGTACATGACTATTAAAGAGTTACACACTGAGACATTCCCTTCAAACCCAAGTCTCAGAACATACCCATGAATCTGTCTCCCTTCTTCTAACCCTCCTTTCTTACTACAAACTTGCAAAAGCTTAACCATTGTTCTCTCATAAACCTTTGCAGCACAAAACTGCATCTCTCTAAACAGCTCAACAGCCTTCTCCCACTCCCCACTCCTCAAATTCAACATCACAATCTCATTCCATGCAAACTCATCTCTTTCAGGCATTTCATCGAACAACTTGTTGGCAATTTCCAAACTCACACAACTCCCATAAAAACCCATCAAAGCAGAAACCACTCGTGTGTCTGATTTAACAACCCCTCTCTTGATCAAACCGCCATGAATAATGAAACCCAGAGACTCACTCATCAGAACAGTACAGATTCTCAAAACCATAACGAGAACTAACCCATCAAAGTTTACTCCTTTACTCTGTAGCTGAACAAACTCATCCAAGACCTTAAGCTTCTCTAATCCGAAACTCTCGATCTCTCTCAAGAAACCCATCCACGAAACTTGGTTCCGAGCGAAACCCATGAAGAAGATCGCACTCGCATACCCTAATTCTCCGAATTCAAGGTAACGAGAGATCAAGCATTCTAAGTCGAATCGATCGAAAATCCTGATAATCCGAGCATGAGTAGCTTTAACAGAGACCAAATCGTCGCAATTGTTAAGCTCCGTCAACGGATGGGAACAAAGTTCCGAGCTTGAAGATGACGGTGCCAGAGAAACAGAGGATGGTATAGATTCGGACGACAACGCATGCTTTATGTCCAGAGAGAAACGAGAATGATTATACTTAGGTGGTGGGTTTATAAGATATCTACGATTTGGTTTACGAAGCGAGAAGAAAGTGTAACAATGTTGGAAAGTTACAGAGAGATTCTCCATTGGAGGAACACTCTGTTTTCTTGGCGGGGGTTTAGATAAAAGTCCTATCGGATTTATTTCAACCCAGGACCGTAAAACGCAGCGTTTTATGTGCGTTTAAATTTGTTTCACCAGAATCTCTAAACGCAGCGTTTTATGTGTTTTAAATTTCACTTGCAGAATGGGAAAATTGACACAAAAAAACCATAAAAGGCCAAAAAAAAAAAACGAATTCACAAAGCCATTTTATATATCAACTATTGGTTAAACACAAAAAAAAATTATCTATTATATCGTTGACCAAACCATTTTAGACATGTTGAAAGTCAAATAGTTAAATTCGTTGTTAAAAATGTCTTGGTCAACAATAATAGGTAAATTTTTCGTGTTTGATCAATAGTAACTAGTAAGTTTCACAAAAAAAAAAAAAAAGTTTCACAAAAAGATCAATAGTTATGTATAAAATGACTTGTTTGAAAATTCGTGGTATTTTTAGCTTAAATTCGAAAGTTAATGGTTTTTTTTTCAATTTTCCCCTTGCAGAATAAAGCAATTACTCAATTCTCAAAAAATGTTCTTACAACAAAGCAACAACATACAAAAGCTATTAGTGTTTCATCTTCAAGAAGTTGTGTTCTGTAAAGATCTACCACTTTTCTCTTGGAGTACCATCAGGGAACACAGGAGTGAGATCCTTCTTCTTTCTAGGACTACTTGAAGGACTTAATCCAATCTTCACACTATCTTCATCATCATCATCATCAAAGTTGGGAGGCACATCATCTTCTCCTTCATCACCAGTCCAGTCACCTTCATCATCATCATCATTGCCACCTTCCAAGTAACCATCCACATCAGACCATTCTTCATCATCATCATCATCATCATCAACATCACTTTCTTCTTCTTCTTCTTCTTCTTCTTCCTCCTCACCCTCTTTTCCATCAATCTCTTCCTCTCTCAGGCGTCCTCCTCTTCTAGGGAATCTTGGTATAGACACAAGCGCACGCATCTTCTCTTTCACAAGAGTCAAAGGATCTTTATCTATCAACTCAGAGTTCCTATAAGCCTCTCTCAAGAAAACAGAATCTCTCTCCCCTTTCAAAGAAACATAAAACAGATCAGGATGTCTTATAATCATCCCTCTCAGCTGCTGCGAGAATCTAAACTCCTCACGGAAATGAGTCAAGTGATCAACCAACGTCCTCTTCTCAGTCGTCAAACTCAAAAGCTCATGAATCACACCACAAGCATGCTTCTCCTTCTCCAACGTCCCCGACCTCAAATGTGAAAAATCCTTGTAAGGAGATATATAAGCCATGTCACGGAACTGAGTTATCTTCCTAGTCTCACTCTTTGAAAGATTCAAACCCCTCGGAAGCTTAACTCTATTGAACTTAGCCGGTCTATCGATAATCAAGTTCCTCTCTTCAGACTCCCTAACCATTTTATCATCCTCAGACAACTCAGCAGCCGACACAGCAAGCTCAGGATCCCAACGAGTCAGCTCCAACGCAGGACCTCTAGGTGTCGGAACAACGCGAAAATACTGCGGATAACGCTGACAAATCGTGTCCCTAAACTCCAAAGGAAGCCCCAAATCAGTCCTGAGATGAGATATCTTCTCCAGCAGTATCCTCTTATCAACAGACATCATCACAAGCTTCCTCAACTTAACAACCAAAACATCCTCAAGCTCGTTCTTAATCTTCATCTCCTCAAGGTAAAGCCTCTCAGCCTCCGAAGTCATCTTGAACCGCAGCGAATAAGCTCCTTCTTCAACTATCTCAAACACGCCTGGGTACTTCCTGAGTAACGCTATGAAACGGCGGCGTTTCTTTAAACCTAGGTCTCTCCTGTACTTGCCTAACCCTCTAAGAGACATGGTCCTGTCTGGCTGGCTCACGAGGATCTTGCGGATGTTCAAGACGAGTTTGAGTTTCTTGTCTCGTTGGACTACGTTGTCGAATGTGAGCTCTTTCCTTCTCTTCACGGCGGCTCGAACAGGGTCGAGGAGGGGTTTCCGGGGGAAGGTCGTGGACACGTGTTTGTTGTTGTTCCTTAGAATCAAACTTTCTCCCATGAACTGTGACCTTGAAGAAGCTCGAATTGTGGATGTGGGGAAACGGGATTTGATTGAAAGGTGAGGTTTTTCGTTGAAAGGGGAGTTGCAGGAGATGAATAAGGGTTTGTGGGCAGAGAGTAGAAGCTTGGGATCCATTTGTGAGAAATGATTTGTAAAATTGCGACTTCAGAAAATTAAAAAAGTTATCACCTTTTGGCTTGGGTTGAATCAAGTAAGGGGTTGTGCAGAAGGATATGCTCTTCTTCTTTGTTAGATTGGGGGTTTAAGGATGGAGTCGTAAAACCCTCCTCTTCTTCTGCTTTCATCTTGAAGCAATCTCTTTCTGATATTATCTATCTTATAGGTCTTGAACGTAATACTGGACAAGAAACGAGGGTATAAAAGGAATTCCACCATAAAAATAAAATAAAACCTCTGTATACAAGAAACGGCGTCGTTTCGCTCACCGTTTCTTCAACTAGTTTCTTGCCCGTTCGATGATCGAGACAGAGAAGCAGATTCAGATTTTAGAGGATCATCACCATTTCCATGGTCTTCTTCATCGTGATTCGCTGCAGTTTCAATGGTGGTATACAAAGTCAGGCTTAGGGATGAATGTTGCATCGTCTTGTGTATGTGCTTGGTGAAGGAATATTCCAAGGGATGAAAGTGCACACTACAAAATGTAAATGTAACAGTTTTTCTCTAGCTTTACTAGGAAAACAGTTTTTCAGATGTGAGATATTGAAATTTGAGTGTATATGCTGCAAATGCTGTGCACAGGAACTCTTGAGGCTATGATATAATCGCAAGCATATATACAAACCTTTTTTATGTTTTTAGACATTTTATCACAAGAGGTTTGGTACCGACCTGTAGAGGTCTCACTTAATATTTTCTATCTCCTAAAAATTAAAAAAAAAATGATTACAGTAGCCAAGGAAGTGGATTGGTTTTGGAAGGGAAACAAAATGAATGTTGATAAGGGATGGATGCAAGAGCTTCTTCGATCAAAAGAGGGAATGCCATGGTAGTTTTAACCTATTATACACCCATTTTCTTTTCTTTTCTTCTCTTTAGTGGCCACAGATAAACACCAGGATAAGGTTGATTCTTGATATATTTTACTTTCTCTGATGGTTTGGATTTTGCCATATTATGTAGATATTAGCAAGATTTGTTATATACGCAATTCCCCGGGAGCTGCTTAGGAAAGAAGAAACTAATGGCAAAACCAAAGTAAGGGTTTCTCTGAGGTTTAGAATTCTTATAAAGTTCATTCTCTGAAATGGATGAAAGTTTTTGACATAAATTTTTGTTGTTTAAATGTGATAGTATCATGCTAGACTTTGCTATCATATTTTCCTTGTACTCTTAGGGCCATTGGAATAGGATGGTGTCGTGCTAGAGTCTTTTCATGTATAGAGATGATATAAACACATTAAGCTTGATGTTTTCTCACACAAGGTTGATGTCAACCTTTTCTACAGCTTGAAAATTCTCTTATATGGGGAATCGGCATTACCATCTGGGACATTGGACAAGGTTTAGATTATCTTTTGTAAGTTTGTGACATTGCATCATGTCTTTTACTTCACCTTCACTGTTAACTTAAAACAACGGCTGAGAAACCTCTTGTAGGTGGTTTTGGTCTCTCGGCTCTGTTTGTGTGTTTGGATAAAGGGCATTTTGGTAAATATGAAGAGGCTTCTATTGTGACCACACATGTGACATGCAATTTTGGTACTCTTGTAGAAGTTGGCTATGCTCAATTCTCACACAAAAGACATTATCAAGAGACATCTCATCCAAAAGCGTGACGTGTCATTCAAGCAGTGGTTTAGATTGATTACACAGTCCACGTCAGCTTACTAGAAACAGCTCCATGCTTGCTTGTCCGCACACTTTTTTTCCACTTGTTCTTCTAAAAGTTTGATGAGATACGGAGAGCACAATTCTTGGTTTAGAAGGAGATAGACAAGAGAGAGGGAGAGTCATGGAAGCTCTCAAAACCGCTAGCTTCAGCCCTATGTCTGTTCTGTCCGAGAAAAGATCAGAACCACGTAGACCCTTCTCGCTCCCTACCCTCTTTCCACCGAAACCAACCTCCCAAGAAAGCTTACTCAAGAGATTCAACGGCGGGTTAGCTCTTTTAACCTCTGTTCTAAGCAGTGCAACAGCTCCTGCAAAGTCCCTGACCTACGAGGAAGCTCTCCAACAATCAGTCACCTCTCCTTCATCTTTTGACTCAGACGGTTTGATCGATGGTATATCAAGTTTCGTCACTGACAATCCTCTTGTGATTGCCGGTGGAGTTGCTGCATTTGCTGTACCCTTTGTTCTCTCTCAGGTTCTGAACAAGAAGCCAAAGTCCTTTGGAGTTGAGTCTGCTAAGAATGCTTACACCAAGTTGGGCACTGATGAAAATGCTCAGTTGCTTGACATAAGAGCCGCTTCTGATTCTAGACAAGTGGGCAGTGCTAATGTTAAAGGGTTAGGTAAAAAGACAGTTTCGGTTGTTTATAATGGAGAAGACAAGGATGGTTTCTTGAAGAAGCTTTCCTTGAAGTTTAAAGATCCTGAGAACACCACATTGTTCATTCTTGACAAGTAAGCCTCTCGGAATCTCAAAACTGTGTTTCTTGTGAATGAAATGTTACAAATATTAACAGTCTTACAGCTACATTCATTCAAACTTAGTAGTGAGTGATAATCATAAGTGTTATTGATTGAATGGGAAGCCAGGTTTGATGGAAACTCCGAGCTTGTTGCTGAATTGGTGTCCCTAAATGGATTCAAATCGGCTTACGCTATTAAAGATGGTGCAGAAGGACCTAGAGGATGGGTGGTGTGTGCTTTCTCTCCCTCTTATTTTGCTTCTCCAAGTGCATTTCTGCTCATATTATTCAGGATTTGTGATGTATTTTTTTTTTGGATTTGCAGAATAGCGGTTTGCCTTGGATAGAGCCAAAGAAGAGTCTCAGTCTTGATCTGAGCAGCTTGACTGATAGTATCAGTGGTGTATTTGGTGTGAGTATACAATTTCATATCCACTGAAAAGTTTGTTATAAACATTGAGAAATGATTAATAAAAGGGAGAAACATAAACGTGCAGGAGAGTGCTGATGGTGTATCTGTTGCTATTGGAGTAGTTGCTGCTGCTGGATTAAGTGTTGTAGCATTTACAGAGGTTTGTTTCTCATTTTCATCTTTATCTTCTTGTCTCCAGAAGATGCAGGTGTTAAAATGTTATCTCTGTCATCATCACAACAGATTGAGACCATACTCCAACTACTAGGTTCAGCTGCACTTGTTCAGCTTGCAGGCAAGAAACTTCTATTTGCTGAGGTAAGTTTTTACACATCTCTACCTCTATATATCTCGGAATATGCTGTTGATGGTTTTTTCTATATATTACAGGACCGAAAGCAAACTCTAAAACAAGTGGATGAGTTCTTGAACACAAAGATTGCACCTAAAGAACTTGTTGATGAACTAAAGGTAAACCAATATAATAATCTCCATTTGTAAATCATATGACCGTTTCTATGATACTTCAACATTGAATGACTTCAGGACATAGGAAAGGCTCTTCTTCCTCCATCAACAACCAGCAAAGCTCTTCCAGCACCAGCAGCAGCAGCAGCAGCAGTGACAGCAGAAGCAGCTACAACCACCACCATTGAGAAACCAGAACCTGAGCCAGAGGTAAAGCCAGCAACCAAAGCCGCAACTGAACAAGTAAACTCAGAGCCAGTGATCGAACCCGCCACTGCACAAGCAATCTCAGAGCCAGCGGCTGAAACAGCCACTGCACAAGTAATCACAGAACCAACCAAAACAGAAGAGAAACCAAAGTCTTATTCAAGACCTCTCTCACCATATGCATCGGTAATGTTTCTACATTCTCCTGAAACATATTCTTACATGAGTTTATGATAATCTGATGTCTCTCTCTTTCTTCACTATTTTTTGCAGTACCCTGACTTGAAGCCTCCAACATCTCCTACACCATCGCAGCCCTGAAAGCCTTTCCTCCTGCAAACAGATGAGTAATGTCGATGGAATCATTGTAAACTTCTTTTTTATCTTTGAGAACGTAGATTCTACCCTTCTTTCGAATCTTGAGATAAAGTGTACTGTACTATGTTATTCTCCTTTATACCCGCCATTGATGTTGTGCTCTTAAGAGTTGAGAGTTGCAAACTTGCAATGTTCAAATAATCATTGACCAATACAAAGTCAAATATATGTTCTTGAGTAGGGCCTGGACATTTCGAATATTGGTTCGGTTAGAATATTTCAGTTATTGGGTAGTTCGGGTAGGAGTTTAGAAGATCCATTTACTACTTACATATTTTCAGTTCGGTTCGGATAGTTTCGGGTTCGTTCAGTTTGGATAGTAAAATTAGAAACTAGAAAGTACCCCCAAAAATCCGGTTCTCATTTGGTTCCGGTTTCGGTTCCGATAGTTAGTTTAAAGGATTACTTTGGATATTTAAGATAAAAATATCTTGAAACTTTCGAATAGATTGGATACTTTATAATAATTTAGGTTTTTTAAATTATTTTCAGATACTTTTAATAAAATTATAAATTATAAAAATATATATTAAATTGTATTCTATATATAATTAATATTTGTATATATTCGGGTATCCGTCTGGTTCTCGGCTCGATTCGGTTATTTCATATATAGAAATATAAGAACCATTCAAATATTTGAAGGTTTCCGTCCGATTCCAGTTTTAGGTTTTTCGGTTCGGTTCTTCGGTTCCGGTTGGTTTTTGTCGGGCCTAATCTTGAGTATTACGATAAAGTAAGGATCGGCCCATATTAGGCCCATTATAGTGGGCCGGCACAGAGTACGAAAGGATCATAACCTTTTCTCCTCCGGGGTTAGTGGAAAGTCTGATAATATACTTAGCATAAACCAATCCGGAATCAATGTTTTTCTTTATTAAATGCATAGACCTCCTTACTATTCGGCATCTAATAGCTGTCGAGTTTTCACATACACTAACAAATTGATGTCTACCTAGTTTAATATTATACACTTTTAACTAAGATTCTGATTAGTAAACATGTTGCGATTCCGCGCGTTGATTTAGTTTGAGTTCTCTTCGTAATATATTAAAGTCTATGTGAAAAGTTTGATATATACTCAGCATAAACCTATTCGGAATCAATGTTTCCTTTAATAAAATGCGTATATCTCCTTAATTATTCGGCATCTGATTACCAAAAAATGATGTCAAGCTAGTTGAATTTGAAGTATAACTGATGATCTAGACGTTTAACTAGGTTCGTAGTAATTATCACGGAATCGCCAATCATGTATCTTTTCAACTGAAACAAGTAAATGAATGTCGGTACAAAAACATGATGTTGAGTTTGCAAGTTGGTCCTAACAACAAGCCACGTGTCGTGTCTTCGTTTCAACTGCTTAATTGGTTCGATTTGTTCAACTATTTACTACTAGGCTACAACAGAATCTAACAACTTTGTTTTATATTTTTACAAGAATGAACTACTAGGCTATAGTCTAGACTCTAGACTAACATACATTAATATTTTACGAGTCCACGAAGGGGAATAAAAGAGAATATCCTCCAAAAAAACTTATTTTTATTTCCCTTCCTAGCAAACTTTCAACTTAACTTTTTCAGTGCTAACAATACATTCTCAATAAATTCGGAAATTAATTATAAGAGAAACGTGTTCTCTCTCTTTTCAAATGCTGAATTTTCTATTTTTATTGTTTTTAATGATAATTTTAGATTTTTTATACATATTTTACTAGTTAATAATCAAATTTAAATTTAAAAAATATTTTTTGGTTATGGATTATTATTGGTTTATAGTCATATAATCTTTTAAATTTGAAATAGGCATTTTTTACATTTTCATATATATGTAAACAATTCTAAAAATATCTTTTAGAAACTGAAAAAAAAATTCTTTGTTTTTTTTTGTATACAGTAATAATTTAATAAATGCGGTCCTATCCCCTATTCATGGATGATACTAACTATAGGGTTGCATTGTTTTTAATGTAACGTCTTTATTTGTTTTGATTTCAGAGAACAGTAGAGTTGCGTTAGGCTCTTGTTTTTGCTTTCAGTTGTCTGAGTTAGGTCGTGAGGTTTAAAGGTTGTATCCATATCAAGGTCTATTCTGACAAAATAAAGTGAGAAAATTGGCATTATCACATGAAATCAATTTTAACCAGATTTCTACAGAAATTTACAAATAATAATGAGTAAATTTGTACTTGTATCATTTGACAAGACTATGCGTTACTGTATAGTCGTGTTACATTATAAGGTTTCGTACAATTTTAAATGTCTTTTTTGCGGTTGGATATTTGATTCTTTCATTTTGAATTTTCTTTTATTTATACAGTTTTTTTGTTGAGCAGTAAATTTTAAAAATAAAACATCATTATATGAAGATCGTTTTGATATTTTTCACATGAACAAATAAGAAGCCGTATTAGTTTTTTTCTTTGATCTTTTTTTTTTATCTACTAAAGAGATATTGATAACATATACGAATGTTTAGTTCACTTAAAATATAGAAAAACAAACGATATATTGTGATTTTGAAAGCTTTTACTATAAAACAGACTATAAATACAGTGGTTGATTAATAATGATCTTAATTAATTAAAGGCAGGAATCAATTTATTTATTAAACTTATGGTACAAAGAATCACAACCAAGTAAATGAAGTCAACTAAATTACTAAGTCAAGATTCCATAACAATAGAGACCGACCAAATCGTTGGTTTGCTTTATTTCGGTTGCTATAAATAGAAAGGATGGTTGCTAGCTTCATCTGCAGAAACCTACCACTACTTCTCTCTCTAGTCTCTCTTGTATTCATTCTTACTCTCACATCCATTGCGTTAATAACGTGTTGTTTCAAATGGATAAGCATCTTAGGACCAAGCAAGCCAAGACCAACCCTATTGTGGCTTCCTCCTCGTCTGAAGGTAATCTGATGAAAACTTCGTTTTAACTTCTCTATGTTTACAAAAGAAAAACATCTTAAAATTTCGAGAAATGATGTGGAACAGAAGTGAGTAGTCTTGAGTGGGAAGCTGTGAACATGAATCAAGAAGAAGAAGATTTGGTCCGTAGAATGCATAAGCTTGTCGGCAACAGGTTTGATCATTTAAATTAATAAGTTAGTTATTGTTGATTAACTGCCACAAATCCAACGTAATTATTTTGTAAAAAAATAATAAATTTTTGATCAAATATTTTAAAAGATTAATTTGTTTTCATTTCCTATATTTGTTTGAAAGATGGGAGTTGATAGCTGGGAGGATCCCAGGAAGAACTGCAGAAGAAGTTGAGAGGTTTTGGGTCATGAAGAAAAAATGAATTATCTCTGAAGTTTCACTGATTATGTTTTAATTTACCAACTTTGTAATAGAATGTTTTCTTACGATAATTTAACGATGTTTTAGATGTGTTTAGGAAGTTCCGAGGCGTGGTGTCTACTGTTCGTTTTGTTTTTTCTTTGGGTTGAAATGTTAATGTTCGTTTTGTTTCTCTCAATAATTTCAAAAGTTTCTTTAGTTTTTATGTGTTTGGATTGTTTGTTTCGGTTTCCTATCTTTGTCTGGTTTGATTTAGATCATGTCAGGTTTGACTTTTCTTGAAATTATATAACTTAAGTTTTCTATAAACTCGCAACCAACGAAATACAAATCATTATAAAAAGCCAAAATTATACAGTATTGTTTTCTACTCGAAGATGGTAATCAATTGTAAAATCTTAGAATCGTCTTTTGGATCCGTTAACTCATTTAGCTCGGTTGAAAAAATTAGAAGTATCTTTATTCATTGATATCAAATCTTTACAATTTGTTTCAAAGTGCTAATATACCTTCCATCGCCCATAAAAGTGTCCAGGTGTATTATGTTTGTATCATTTATCGTTTAATATATGCCCTTTAATATATATAGTTCTTTTTTTTGGTCGTCTGTTAAGAAATATTAGAATGATTAAGGTTCCACATAATACAACAATGCCATCCAAACGAAATAAAGCCTACACGAACTATCCATGTAAATAATATTGAAACTACACAACAAGACCAGTCTCTATACCTCCAAATTCCAAAAGTGAATCCAAACACCTGATAATTGTCGAATCCGTGTCATTATAAATGGCCTCAGGCCGCTGGAGAGATTCCTGGAGATCAGACTTTCATCTGGTGAAACTAAGCAGGTTGAGCTTGAGTATGAAAAGCTGGAAAAGCATTGCTTCTCGTGCCTCTCCCTCTCCCACGAAGCAGGAAGCTGCCCTACTAAATCGACCTCTTCTGGCTCTTCTTCTCTTGAGTTGGGTATCTCTCAAAAAAGAATCTTGGACCGAATTGCGGATAGTAGGAAGCGTGCTGATAACAGGAAGCTCTTTCGTTTCTCCCCTTACGACAGGGGTTATGGAGATGGAAAAAACAGCAGACGACCTGATCACAGCTCCCGGGAGGGATACCAGAACCCCAATGATCATCACCGTCGATATGAGGATAAAAGAGATGTTAGAAGGGATGGTTCTTACCATTCTCGACACTACTCTTCCTCAGAAGACAGAGAAAGCAACCACTCTCTCCAGCAAAGAAATGATAGGCTCCCTCCCATTCGGGAAAGCTCTGATGTCTCCAACAGATCTCAAGGGCGTCGCTCTGCGAACCCTGTCTCTAAGAGCTTCTGGCGCCCGATCTCGGAAGATGGAGCGGGTGTGGGAGGACTTTCAAACTCTGTTCAATCTCAAGTCTCACACACACCATCACCTAAAACTCAACGTGAACCGATGCTACCTGATAGGTGTCGCCCTATGGCCTCCCCACAAACTCCTCGAGTCTCAAACGATTCGGGGGAGCGCCGCTCTGCGCTAGATAGAATCTCTGGGGAACCAGCAAGGGTTCATTTACTCCATAATGGGGTGGCAAACTCAGACTCTGGCCGGCTCCAGGATGTGAACATTCAATATCTGGAAGACGTTCCTCCATACCAGACGCCTCCTGAGCTCATGAGGGCTTCTTGCTCTAATTTGATTGAATCTGGAAGATTGCAACTCCCAGCGGAGGGAGGTAACTCTCCTATCAGATCACTAAGCGAGGATAGGGCCCATGTTTCTCTCAGGCTTGGCCCTTTGCCCCCTGATGAAGCGCCTCTTCCAATGCTGGCCACTGCAGCGGCAAAATCGGCTGTAAGGAGAGCTGCCCGTGTACCTTCAACTAGAAGGAACCTGAGAACCCCAGCCCAAGGCGTTAGTCTGAACAAAAGAACAGTTGCTAAGGTTCAAGGCTCTCCAAAACGCAAGACGGGTACGGGTCCTAAGGGTTCAAAGGCGAAAGATAAAGCAGCTGTTACAGGCGGCAGACCGACAACTACTCTGATCCCTGCAATCTCTAAGAAAAAAGGGGATTTTCGGTCCGCTCCAAGCTCTCTTCCTTAGCGAGTATGAGTTGGAACTGCCAGGGGATAAGGAACCCTCTGACAGTTCAACGCCTCAGGGAGATTCGCTCCAAACTCGCTCCCGACATCTTGTTCCTTATGGAGACGAAGAACCAAGACGAAGCTGTGCTCAACACGTACCGAGGATCCGAGTACTCTAACCACTTTACTGTTCCGCCTGATGGTATTAGTGGGGGTCTCGCTCTCTCTTGGAAAGACAGCGTCCTTCTTGATGTCTTGTATTCTTCTCCAAATATCATTGATACTTGTATCACAAGTCATAATAAATCGTTCTATGTTTCTTATGTGTATGGCGCCCCTAGACAACAGGATCGGGCTGATTTCTGGGCTAAACTTTCGGATATAGGGGCACACAGAAAAGAAGCTTGGCTTATCACCGGTGACTTCAACGACTTATTAAACAACTCGGAAAAAGTTGGAGGTCCTCCAAGATGGGAGGGATCCTTTCTTTCTTTCCGAAGTTTTGTTACCCAGCATGGTCTTTGGGACCTTCAGCATTCTGGAAACTCACTTTCATGGAGAGGCACTCGATACAGCCATTTTATCCAGTCTCGACTTGACAGGGCCATGGCTAATGTCGAGTGGAGTGAGATGTTTCCAACGGGTCGTTGTGAGTACCATCGTTTTGAGGGCTCAGACCATAGGCCAGTGCTCACTCTCTTTGATAGTAATCTGCTGAAAAAGAAAAGAGGACTCTTCCGCTTTGATCGTAGATTGCGTGAGAAGCCAGAAATTAGGGCTCTAGTGGAAGACTCCTGGTGTGCGCAACCAGCTGACTCAGTACTTACTAAAATCTGTCGAGTGAGGTCGAAGATTGTCGAATGGACCAAATTGCAAAATCAAAACAGCAAGGCGCTAATCCAGACCTCCCAGGATCAACTAGAAGCGGCTCTCTCAGAATCCCCTCCAAACCCTGATCTTATCTTGTCGCTGCAGGGGGTTCTAAGTAAAGCATATGCTGAGGAAGAAGAATTTTGGCGTCAAAGGAGCAGAATTCTATGGTTAAGCTGCGGAGACAAAAACTCTACCTTCTTCCACTCGGTCACCCGCGGACGCAGAGCTCTGAACAAATTTGCAGTCATTGAAGACGAGACCGGGAATGCTTTCTTCGAGGAAGAACAAATTGCTCAGACCATTGCCTCTTTCTATCAAGACATCTTCTCGACCCGCTCTATGGGAAACTTAAGTGTGGTTCAAGAGGTGCTTACGCCGCGGGTCACTCCTGATATGAATCAAGAGCTCATTGCAACACCATCAGACTCGGAAATTAAATCGGCGGTTTTCTCAATTAATGCGGATAAGGCCCCGGGGCCAGATGGATTCTCCGCTGGTTTCTACCAGTCCTTTTGGGACATTATTGGTCCTGATGTGTGCAGAGATATTAGGGGTTTTTTCTCCTCAGGAGAATTACACAGAAGGCAAAACGAGACTCATGTTCGTCTGATTCCCAAGATATCTGGTCCTCGTAAGGTGGCAGATTACCGGCCGATCGCGTTATGCAATACCCACTGTAAGATCATCGCCAAAATCCTCACCAAGCGCCTCCAACCGCTCCTGTCCCACCTTATTTCAGTCCATCAGTCTGCGTTCGTGCCGGGACGTGCCATCTCCGACAATGTCCTGATCACGCACGAGATCTTATACTATCTACGCTCGTCGGCCGCTCGTCAAAGGTGCTCAATGGCTGTGAAAACAGACATGAGCAAGGCCTATGACCGGATTGAATGGGACTTTTGCAGGGAAGTAATGAAGCGGTTGGGTTTCCACAGTGTGTGGATTTCTTGGATCATGGAATGTGTTTCCTCGGTCTCTTACTCTTTTCTTATCAATGGGGGGCCGCAGGGACATGTTTCTCCACCCGAGGGTTACGACAAGGAGACCCTTTGTCCCCATACCTCTTTATTCTATGTACTGAGGTACTCTCCGGCCTTTGTACCCAAGCTCAAGAGAATGGAAGCCTTACTGGTGTGAAAGTGGCGCGCTCGTGTCCACCGATAAACCATCTCCTCTTCGCCGATGATACCATGTTCTTTTGTAGATCGGACCGGGCCAGCTGTGAAGCTCTTGTGACGATCTTGAACAAGTATGAGTTGGCTTCGGGACAGTGTATTAATCGCAACAAGTCGGCCATTACCTTCTCCTCCAAGACGTGGCCAAGTACAAAGAGAAATGTCATGTCAACTCTTGGTATTGGGCAGGAAGGAGGCATTGGCAAATACCTTGGACTTCCGGAGCATTTTGGGAGGAAAAAACGTGACATCTTTGCTTCCTTAGTGGATCGTATTAGACAGAGGTCCCACGGCTGGACTACGCGGTTCCTATCGGGTGCTGGGAAGCTGGTTTTGTTAAAATCAGTCCTCGCTGCAATGCCAGCATACACCATGTCATGCTTTAAGTTGCCCATGTCTCTCTGCAAGCAAATTCAGGCCGTCCTGACCAGGTTTTGGTGGGACCTGAAGCCAGAACAGAAGCGCTTATGCTGGGTCTCTTGGGATAAGCTCACGAGGCCAAAATCAGTAGGCGGCCTTGGGTTTCGAGATATTGAACACTTCAACGATGCCATGTTAGCAAAATTGACATGGAGGCTTTTGAAGAACCCTTCTTCTCTCCTTGGTCAAACACTGCTTGGGTAATATTGTCGTAATGAGAGCCTCCTTGAGTGTGGTACAAGCGGTGCTATGTCCCATGGATGGAGGGGAATCCTCGCTGGGCGTGAAGTGTTAAAACAGGGACTCGGCTGGGCCATAGGTGATGGGAGAAAGGTGAATCTCTGGAATGATAGTTGGCTGTCAACCAGTGGAGCTTCAAGACCGATTGGCCCCCCATCGCTGGAAGATCAGAATCTTACCGTCAATGATCTCCTGATTCCGAACTCAGGTGACTGGGATCTTTCGGCAATTCGCTCTCATCTCCCTCAATATGAAACATCCATTAGACTCCTCCATCCAAGCTCCTTTAACATGGAAGATACTATAGTGTGGTTGTCGGAGAAGTCAGGTTGTTATTCTACTAAGTCAGGCTATGCTTTGGCTAAGCTTGCAAGTGAAAGGGAGTTTCTCCCCCAAGCTACT